AATTATGTCTTCAAATTAAACCGACGCCGTACCACACCTGCATTATATGAGTTATATGCTATACAGACTTGCTGTCTCCTTAATTACAATAGATAATTAGATATTTAAAAATGCTACACGAGAGGCAGCACCATCGATGTCCAGCGCGATCGAGCGCTAGTAGAACACACGCCCATCGCAACGTCACTATTACAACACGTGCTCCCTCTAGAACGGGCGACATCGCGATCGAATAATCTCAAATAAAACATGCGACGAAAACTTGAATCAATGGCCACAATATACTACCATTCCATGCACACAAACATCAGCGTAATATTACAATGTTAGCCGCGAGTTTTTGCCATTCGTTGCATTGCCATAGCAGGCCACAAACGCGTATAGACACTAGATCATATAACTGGCACAATACAAGATGACAAGATATATATACACATATACAACATATATATTATTATATACTTATATTATATAATATAGTAGATATATATATAATTACATTACACTATCCCCCAAAACCCACACGACCATTACAGTGAGTAACAATATATTGAACAGTGGCACGCCAGCTACTGGCGAGGATCATTCCGATACGATTCACAACTGATATTATAACAGCAGTAAAAACAGAACGCAGTGCCCCAAGTATGGTATAAAGATGTATCGCTATGTATGGTATGGTACAATATCTCTTATTTACAGTTGCTACACTATCAGCACACTGCCCAGCCTTCCTCTATCTGCACGTGACCCACACGGACCTCCGCTTCCATCGCAGACTTATACCAGTAGTCTGCCCGCCACGGCACTGCGTTAATGAATAGCAGCCGACCACGCGCTGACGGGAAACCCATCTAAATCATATGCCTCCAGCGTGAGTGCTTACGCTTTACTAAAGCATGGAACCTCTGCATTGCACGTGACACGCTATTAATGTGTACATCACATGTAATTAACGTTAGTAACACGAACTGTACATACGCATGTTACACGGCTTTAACAACATGGAACGTTAACATGTCGCATGTTACTCAGCTTTGCCCCACCGGAACTTTTACATCACATGTCCGCCGAGCGAAACATTATACATCACGCAATTCCTCTCCAGCAGCATTCACTATGGGCATGAACCGGCAGGTCACGCGACACGTTACCCCCAGAATCTCATATTACCACGAACAATGACGTCTCGCATCGCTCGTGACACGGAACACCGGGATCGTGACACGGAACCTCCTAGAACAAACATTGTCAGTCACGTGGTTCCATGCTGCGTACGATAACATCCGTCCGAACGACGAGCTAGATGGGTGCCGGACTACATTTTGTACCCAGCCACCTCGTCATGGCACCGTGGCGAGGACAGCGTCAGTCTAGCGCTCCGCGTGCAGCCGGCGATGGCGCGCGGGGGGGGGGGGTTAGCACGAGCGCCGACACGCTCACACGGACGTCTCGTGCTTAGTGAGAGTTTGATCAGCGCCGGTCTCGCTTCTGCATGCTGTACGAATCGTTGTATAGCGATGGTCGGCCAGCGACGCCCTCCGAACTGCTGCCTGCACCTGTCGCGGCCAATCGCTCGGCCTTCCTCTTATCTGGAGACGGAAATGCGAGCGGCCATCTGAATATGGGTGATCGTGCGAGCTATTCCATTCTATGTTCCATTCAATTCATTGGTCTATTTTGCCCTTACTCCAAACTTAATCCATTCCATTCCCATTTCCACTCCATTCCAGCTCCATGCCAAATAGGTCATTCCATGATATTCCCCATTCCTTCCTTGCACTCATTCCATTCCTAGTAATTCCCATTCGACTCTATTCCATTCCATTCATTGACATTCCATTCCTTCCACTTATTCCACTCCATTGCACTGCCCATTACAGCTCATCTACTCCATTAATTCCATCCAGTCCATGCATTTCATTTCATTCATTCCACACTGCACTCGATTCCATTCCATTTCATGACAATCACCCAATCCAATCCCATTCTACTCAATTCCTCCCATTCCATCGCACCTCCCATTCCTCTCCTTCCCTTCTATTCCAGGTAACACTCACTGCGTAGCGGAGTCCATGTATCTGAGGTTTTCTACAGTAAACCGGTACGGGTTTGAACTGTGGCCGCCATCTTTCGCGATTCTTCACAGCGAGCACATCTGCCATAATCTGTAAATAAATAGAACACCGCATGTAAAACAAACGCGTGACATGCAAGGATGTATATGAAATAGTAAATATATATAGAGAGTATAATATAGATAATATATATGGAGAGAGAGAGAGAGAGAAGAGAGAGAGAGAAGAGAGAGAAGAGAGCAAGAGACATGAGCACGAGAGAGAGAGAGAGAGAGAGAGAGAGAGAGAGAGAGAGAGAGAGAGAAAGAAGAGAGAGCAGGAGAGATAGAGATAGAGGAGAGAGAGAGGAGAGAGAGGAGAGAGAGAGAGAGAGAGAGAAAGAGAGAGGAGAGAGAGAAGAGAGACAGAGAATAGTTATATACTATGATTGCCTATACATTATATTTGCTCACATATGATATATATATCTACAGTATAGCGTATATAATAACACTATAAATATAATGTATAATTATGTCAACAGCGACAGTGATAAACACCTACCTATGTGATCCTCGGGTTATGATGGTCTAGGTACGCGCGGCTGTTGCTTCGCGGGGCTGCGGGGATGGAAGCAGGAGTCGTCCTCATCCACGCAGCTGGTGGTGCCGCCCGCCCACCGCCTTACTCATTAGCCATAGAGTTCGAAAGCTGGTGGCCGGGCGGACGTCGATGCGCCTCAGCTATGTCTGCTCTATAGGGTGTGAGAGATGGAGACATTACATACATATCAGCTATGTCTGCTTCTATACAGGTGTGAGATAGAGAGACAGTATATACATATCAAGCTATGTCTGCATTCATATACAGGTGAGATAGATGGAGACCATTACATACATATCAAGTATCTCTGCTTCGTATACAGTGTGAGAGAGATGGAGACATGAAATACATATCAGCTATGTCTTTCTATAGAGGTGTGAGAGAGAGATGGAACACTTACATACCTATCACTATGTCTGCCTTCTATAGAGGTTGGGAGAAAGATGGAGCATACAGACATATCAGCTATTCTGCTCTCTATAGAGTGTGAGAGAGAGCAACATTACATTACTATCCAGCTATGTCTGCTTCTATAGAGGTGTGAGAGAGATGGAGACATTACCTTACATCTTCAGCGATGTCTGCTTCTATAGAGGTGTGGAGAGAAAGATGAGACATTACATACATTCAGCTAGTCTGCTTCTATAGAGCGTGTGAGAGAGATGGAGACATTACATACATATCAGCGAATGCTGCCCTTCTATAGAGTGTGAGAGAGAGGAACATTACATTAACATATCAGCTATGTCTGCTTTCTTATAGGAGGGTGGGCGCAAAGATCCGAGATCTTACATACATATCAGCTATGTCTGCTTCTATAGAGTGTGAGAGAGATGGCAGACATTACCAGCTATGTCTGCTTCTAAGAGGTAGTGAGCAAGAGAATGGAACATTACATAAACTATCACGCTAGTCTGCCTTCTATAGAGGTGTAGAGAGAGATGGAGACATTACATACATATCGCTATGTCGCGTTCTATACAGGTTGAAGAGAATGGAGACATGAAAATACATATCAGCTATGTCTGCTTCTATAGAGTTGAGAGAGAGATGGAGACATTACAGAACATATCAGCTATCTGCTTCTATAGAGGTTGAGAGAGCAGAGCCGAGGAATTACCATACATATCCAGCTATGTCTCCTTCTATACAGGTGTGAGAGAGAGATGAGACATTACATACATATCAGCTATGCTCTGCCCTTCTATAGAGTAGCTGAGAGAGAGATGAACATACAGACATATCAGGCTATGTCGCGTCTATACAGGTGTGAGAGAGATGGAACATTAAATACATATCAGCTATGTCTGTTTCTATAGAGGTTGGAAGAATGGAGACGATGACATACATATCAGCTATGTTCTGGCTTCTATAGAGGGAGGAGAGCGATGGAGACATTACATACATATCAGCTATGATCTGCACTTCTATAGAGTGTGAGAGAGAGATGAGACCATTACATACATATCAAGCTATGTCTGCGTCTATACAGGCTGTGAGGAGAGATGGAGACATTACATACATATCAGCATAGTCTGCTTCTATAAGTAGGTGTGAGAGAGCAGATGGAGACACTACATAATATCAGCTATGTCTCTTCTTACAGCAGCGTGGAGAGAGAGATGGAGACATCTACATACATATCAGCTATGTCCTTCTATACAGGTTGGCTGAGAGAGAGCATGAGAACATTACATCACATAATCAGCTATGTCTGTTCTATAAGTGTGAAGAAGATGGGACATTCACATACATATCAGCTATGTCTGCTTCTATAGAGGTGGGAAGAGAGATGCGAGACATTACATACATTATCAGCTATGTCTGTTTCTATAGAGTGGAGAGAGAGATGAGCATTACACATACAGCTATGTCTCCTGCCATACAGGGAGAAGATGAGACATTACAACATATCAGCTATGGCTGATTCTATAGAGGTGTGAGAGAGAGGAGACATACATACATATCAGCTATGTCTGCCTTCTATAGGAGTGTGAGAGAGGAGATGGAGACATTACTATCATATCAGCCTAGTCTGACTTCTATGAGGTGGAGAGAGATGCAGACATTACAAACGTATCAGCTATGCTGCTTCTATAAGAGCGTGGAGAGATGGAGACAATTACATACAATCAGCTATGTCGGCTTCATAGAGGTGAGAGAGAGTGGCAGCATTACATACATTTCACCTATGTCTGCTTCTATGAGGTTGAGATTGGACATACATACATATCAGCTATGTCTGCATTCTATATGAGTGTGAGAGAATGGAGACATTACCATACATATCAGCCTATGTCTGCTTCTATACAGGTGGAGCGATAATAAAAACATATACATATATATATAAATAATACATATATATATATACCGTACATTACATACATACAAGAACCTTATATATCTATCTATCTATATAATACATATAATATATATATATATAATTATATATATATATAGGATATCTTAATTTATACCATAATAAATAATAATAGATTAATTATGATAATATATATATTCATATATTATATATCTTATATACTAAGATATAGCTTAATATATACCAGTAAAAAATAATTGATTATATATAAGTAATATATATTATTATATTATATGATATATATTATTTAGATATATATTACTTATATATAATAGGATATAGCTGCTTACCTCCCAAGCGAGCCTCTAGTGGGTCGGAGGAGTACCTTCCCGCGATGCTGTCCTCTCTCTCACGCGGCCCGTAGGTGACCGCCTTCTCCAGCGTGAGCGTACTCTTACTCCGCCCGTTCCCTCCCCTCCTCCTCGTATGTTGCAAGCAGCTTTTTCTGCAAGAGAGCGAGAGAGTTGTAGTGAGTTAGAGAGATAGAGAGAGAGAGAGAAAGAGAGAGAGAGAGAGAGAGAGAGAGAGAGAGAGAGAGAGAGAGAGAGAGAGAGTGAGAGAGTGAGTTAGCGTGAGACCGAGTCAAGGTCAGCGTCCAGTGTAAGGTCGAGTCAAGGGTTTTGGGGGTTAGGAAATATGGAGTTAGGTGATATGCGTTGTGGTAAAACCGACCGAGTTATGGTTAGAGTGAGGTTTATAGTTAAGGCTAGGGTTAGTGTTAGGGTTAGGGTTAGGGTTAGGGTTAGGGTTAGGGTTAGTGTTAGGGTTAGGGTTAGGGTTAGGGTGACGCCAACGTGACCTCACCATTTCCTCACCGCGACCATAATGTGACCTCACCATGACCTCATCATGACCCTACTACAACCCCACCCCTCAAACGCCCCGTGCTTCTAGCGTTAATGCTAGGGTTAGGATGGCTCCGAAGTGACCGCATTGTGACCTCACCACGACCTCACCGTGACACAATCCTGACCTCACCACAAACCCACCGTTACCTCACCGCGACCCCTCGCGCACTCACCTTGCTTGGCGACTCGAACGGCTCGTGTTCGGGGCTGGTGGGCGGTGACGCCGCGGGCGGAGACTGCTGCTCAGGAGGCATCGTTGCCGCGGCGATGGCTGCGGCGGGCGTCGGCTGCAGGTACTCTTCTGCGTCGACGAGACGGCGCTGCCCGCCGCCGGTGGCGCCATCTTCCATCACGCTCAGACCGCGCATGAACTCATGGTTGTCCTGCGGCGTGAACGACGGCAGCCGCATGAGGTCGTCGCCCTGGCAACGAACAAACAAGAGGTCAGCGCGGGGTCCTGGAGGTTGTATTTATGTTATGTGTTGATGATTATTAGTTGGTTATACTTTGCACGTATGTGTATGAATAAATATGTATAAATGAATCAGTGAATGATTGAATGAACGAGTGAATTAAATAATGTGAAAAGTTTTTAAATAAGGTAAGAAATAAATAAATAAATAAACATAGATGTAAACTATTGTAACATTGTAACTAGATGTAACATTGTTGTGCTAACGCATTAATTACTGTCAGGTTAATGTTTTCCTAGTATAATCTGTGAATGAGACCTTAGTAGATTATCACATGCCTGTAGCAGAACTACATAACGATAGATAAACCAACGTAAGAGTAAAATGCAAGTCTCTTTTGCGTTCCGCGTAAATTTCGTTTTTACCTAAATGAATAAATAAATAAATAAATAAATATATAAATAAGCGTAGATGTAAACTATTGTACTCATTAACAATCGCGCGTGCCTAGCGTTGATTGTTTCTCACCTGCACCACCAGGTAGCGTGCCGGGTCGCGCGCCATCTTGGCAAAGTCGGCTCCCAGCTCCTTGAAGGAAGGCCTGCTTTCTGAATCCAGCATCCAACCTGTGAGCGAGAGAGCGAGTGTGTGAGAGAGAGCTTCACACACACACACACACACACTTATATATATACATATACTATGCCCCAAAATACCCACACGACCATTACAGTGAGTAACAATATATTGAACAGTGGCGCCAGCTACTGGCGATGATCATTCCTAATCTATTCACAATGATATTAATACAGGCAGTAAAAACATGAACGCAGTTGCCAAGTATGTGTATAAGTATGTATGCGTATGTATGTGTATGATACAATATCTCGTATTTACAGTTGCTACACTATCCAGCCACGCTGCCAGCTTCCTCTATCTGCACGTGACCCACACGTGACCTCCGCTTCCATCGCAGACTATACAGTTAGTCTGCCGCCACGCAGCTGCGTTAATGAATAGCAGCCGACCCACGGCTGACGGGAACCCATCTAATGATATGCTGCCAGCGTTGAGTGCTTGACGCTTTACTTTAACAGCATGGAACCTCTGCATTGCACGTTACACGGCTTTAATGTTTACATCACATGTTATTAACGTTAGTAACACGGAACTTTTACATCGCATGTTACACGGCTTTAACAACATGGAACGTTAACATGTCGCATGTTACTCAGCTTTGCCGGCACGGAACTTTTACATCACATGTCGCGAGCGAAACTTTTACATCACGCAATTCTCTCCATCAGCATTCCACATGGACATGGAACCGCGGTCACGCGACACGTTACCCCAGAATTCATCATTACCACGGAACACTTACGTCTCGCATCGCTCGTGACACGGAACACGGGATCGTGACACGGAACCTGTAGAACAACATTGTCAGTCACGTGGTTTCCATGCTGCGTACGTAACATCCGTCCGAACGACGAGCTAGATGGGTGCCGGACTACATTGCAGCCACCTCGTCATGGCACCGTGCGCGAGACAGGCGTCAGTCTAGCGCTCCGCGTGGCAGGGCCGGCGATGGCGCGGCGGGGGGGGGGGGTTAGACGAGCGCCGACAGCTCACACGGACGTCTCGTTCTTAGTGAGAGGTTTGATCAGGCGCCGGTCTCGCTTCTGCATGCTGTCGAAGTCGTTGTAGTAGGCGTGGTCGGCAGCCGACGCCTCCGAACTGGTGCTGCCACCTGTCGCCCGCAATCGCTCGGCTTCCTCTTGATCTGGGAGAACGGAAAATACGGACGCCATCTTGAATATGGGTGATCATCACTATTCCATTCTATTCCATTCAATTCTATTCTATTTTGCTCTACTCCAAACTAATCCATTCCATTCTATTCCATTCCATCCATTTCCACTCCATTCCACTCCATTCCATATTATTTCATTCCATTATATTCCATTCCATTCCTTGCCACTCAATTCCATTCCATGTAATCCCATTCTACTCTATTCCATTCCATTTCATGACATTCCATTCCTTTCCACTTAATTCCACTCCATTGCACTGCATTACATCTCATTCTACTCCATTAATTCCATCCCAGTCCATGGCATTTCATTTCATTCATTCCATCACTTTCCACTCGATTCCATTCCATTTCATGACAATCCACCCAATCCAATCCCATTCTACTCAATTCCATCCCATTCCATGGCATTCCATCCCATTCCTCTCCATTCCCTTCTATTCCATGTAACACTCACTGGTAGCGGAGTCCATGTATTCTGGGTTTTCTACAGCAACCGGTACGGGTTTGAACTGTGGCCGCTCTTTCGCGTTCTTCACAGCCGGAGTCACATCTGCATAATCTGTAAATAAATAGAACAACACCATGTAAAACAACGCGTGACATTCAATGGAATGTATATGAATATATATATATTTATATAATATATATATATATATATTGGAGAGAGAGATAAGGAGGGAGGGGGAGAGAAAATATATATATAACGCCCGAGTAACAGAGACAGAGTGCGAGAGAGTGTATGTGTGTGAGAGGGTGAGAATCACAGAGGGAGAGCGTGAGCGAGAAGGCAAGAGAAGTAACTATATATAGAGTGAAAAATATTAGAGAGAAAAGAAAGATGTATGTGGAAAATTGTCGCCGCCGCAATTTAATGTCTGTGTATGTACCAGCAATAAACGTACGCACGTGCCTGTGCATGTGTGCGTCCGTGCCTGTGCGTGCGCGTACGTGTGTGCATCTCCCTCTGCATTACTCCCTCCCTTCGTACCTCCCACTCTT